ATTGAATTTAAATTCTTAATTACTCTTGATTTTTTTAGAAAAATACTAAAGTATACCTTGATTTCGTATTTTTTTTTAAAAATATTAATTGAAAAATAATAGGCATTCAAATAATACATGTCATAACATGTTTTTGACCCCCAAATTTTTCATTAAAAAATACTTATTTTAAAAATTCAAAAAAAAATTGTATGTTGCATAGTTTCTATAATTTTTGCATGATTTTTAGGTATTTTGATAGATTTTCTAGATTCATAACATACTGGTGTTTTCCTTACTTTTGAGAGCAGTTGAGAAAAAACAAAAGGCAAAAAAAAAAAAACCATAGAAAAAAGATCGAGGCAAAAAAAATTGAAACAAATTTCAAAAAAAAGAAAAGAAAAGAAAAGAAAAGGGAGGAATAGACATAGGGGGTACAATTCATACAATTGAAAAAAATAAGGATCAAAGAAAAAAAACCTAATCACCAATTGAGGAGTGCAATCGAAAACAAAAACCACAGACCAAGAAATACGAGGGCCAACTTAAAATTTTGTTGATTGAAACGACGTTGTTTCGTTTGAAGGGAAATTAAAAAAAAATAGCATGCAAGGCTGAAACGACGGAAAGATGCAATAGTAATATGAAAGGTTTCACGTTGTTTTGGCATTATAGTTGCATCTCCCCCCCCCCCCCCCCCCTCTTTTTTTTTTTTTTTCTTTTTCTGCAACTCTCTCCCTTGAAAAAAACAAAACAGAGGCAATAAATGACAGCCTCTCTCTTCACCCTATCAAGCATCAGAACCAGCAAAAACATATGTTGTTCTTTCTCTCTGTATGTACTTGAACTTCAGCTTGAATTCCCATCATCAATTGCTGCGATTTGGTTAGGACCATGAGGGTTCTAGACCTTTCTTCTAGCTCTATAAAAGGGAGAGAAAAAGATAAAGGAAAAGGAAAAAAAGAGAGCAATGAGTATAAGATTTTTTCAAGAGGAAAAAAGGAGTTTTGAGTTGAGAAAACTCTCCTGTGTTGAGGGAGATATAAAAAAAAAAAAAAAACAGTCTCGGTTTCAAAGATAGTTTTCATCCAGGTTTATATTAACAACTTGATCAATTTTGACATTGAATTATCCTCGTTTGGATAAATGTTGTTCTTTTATTTGATTTAACCGTTATCAGTAACTAAAACTCTATTAAAAAAAATTCAATTTTTTGATATTTTAAATTAAAATTTTTCACGTATACTAATAAAAATTCAATCTACTTTCTAATATAATTTCAAAAAATTTTGAGATTAAAAGGTATTTTTAAAAATTTTCTTAAACATTAACTATTAGTAAAATTAAAAGAGAATAGAAAATAATTTGAAATGATTCCATGTTTTATTGGAAAGCCCAAAAAAATCATATAATTTATCTACTTAGTTTTAGTATAATTCTAAAAACATTTGCGTGGTTAGATGTGAAACACCTACCCAAGCTTAAAATAAGTTAATTTTAAAAACTAAATATATAAAATTTTGAAAATCTCAATTGTAAATTCATATACCACCTTAGAGATTCCAAAAATGTTTGAGATAATTCTAGCTTATTTTTTATTTTTTATAATTTATTGACTTTTGTTGTGTACAAAATAAATAAATACTTTCAAATTGAAAAAAAAATAAATTATTTGTGAAGGTGGATTGAATTTTAATTAGGGTGCATGGAGAATTTTAATTTAAAACTAGATGGTTGTCCACATTACGCACCGAATCGAGCACAATAAGTAAAATCATTTGAAAAAAAATCATTATAATTTGATAGTCTTCATTACGCTACGGATCCGCAAAGATAAAAAGTAATATTCGTCTAACTTTGTGATTTTTAATCAAAATTTTATATTTAATTAATTATTTCTTGTGTTTTTTAAAAGATTTCCTTCTTAAAAACATGATTTTTTTTACCATGCATGGATTTTTAAATAAAAAATTATCATAATCTAAATTCAAGTTTCAATTCAGTGAAAATCCTAAAATATATATATATGTATAAATTTAATTATTGATTTTATAAGATTTTATCGACCAAAGAAAACAACAATTCATTTTAAAAAATGCGTAAAAATTTAAAGATTTAAAATAATTTTTTATGATATTGATGAGAAGAATGATATATATATATATTCTTAAGATAATAAATAATATTAACATAAAAAATTTATTTTAAAAAACATGGTATGATCGAATGTTGCTTTAAAAATATAATTTTTATTATTTTATTTAAGGATAATTGATTTCAAAATATTCATTCAAAAAAAGTAAATATTAAGTGTTTTTTTGTGTATATGTATAGTCAATATGTAATTAAAAATACTTATAAAATTAATTATATTTTTGTTGCTCAAACATTTAGTCAAGTGAATTACACATGATGCAGAAAAAAAAATCATAACCACTGTATTTTATTCATAAAATAATTTTGTTTGTATCTTCAATAAGTCAATAGTTGCATTGACTATATTAGATTTGTCAACAATGATTTTTAAACTTGATTATTATTTATAGGCATGGCATAATCTTGCTATCCTCGAGGCTATGTATAAAGTGCATCTAATTTTTCATACCTAGTATAATTTTTTTTAATACACTCTTTTGATACAAGTAGCCAGTACGATATTTATAATAAAAAAATCACCTGCAAACAATGATAAGCAAACAATGATGAAGGAGATCCTTGAATTGCAAAGCAAATTATAGATTAGTCCATCTTATTTTGTGAAATGAATTAATTAGCTCTTCCGGTTTCAAAAATTAATTATTCAATTTTTTTAACCAATGTTGACTACGATTAATTTAAATTTTTTATTTATAAAATTTCTTCTTTTCATATTGTACTTATTTCTCGTTCTCGGAACAAAAAATAAAATAAATTAAAAAATAGCAAAAAGAACAAAGAAACTAGTTTTTGAATAAAAGAGACTAATTAATTCGTTTATTGAAAAAGAGAGGGATTAATTCATAATTTACTTTTGAATAGTAAGTGCCTCCTTGAAAATGAGAAGATTTGAATAGTAAGCACCTCCTAAAAAATGAGAAAAAAAAAAAAAGACAAGAGTATTAGATGATACTAGTCACATTTCCGAGCTACGCTGCGAACCCAATAGAAAAAAATCATTTTAAAATTTTAAAATTTTTTAATTAAAATTTTTTATTCATTGGATTTTTTTTTATATAAATTTATGCTTAAAAAAATATAAATCATTCTTCTCCATGGATTCATTTTAAAATAAAAAATATAATAATTTTAACTAAAAAATTAATCAAGAATTAAAAAAATTAAATATAATTTTTATAATATTGTATTCCAAAAAATAAAGTTATAATTAATGGATAGACTTTTACAAAAATTAACAAATGAGAAAAAATTCTTATTTAATATTGATAGGAACATTAATTTTTGAAATTATCCGCGCAACGCTACGAGCGAGATAGAACACCTAATTAAATAAAAAAATATAAATTTATGAAAATTATAAAAAGAATATGGAAGTAAAAAAAATCATATATATTATATAATAGTCATTTTGTGTAAAAAATAAATAACGATTGATTTTTTTAAAATTTAACACCTAATTAAATAAAAAAAGAACATAAATTAATGAAAAAAAAACAAAATTGATTTTTTAAAATAATATAAATTGATGAAAAAAGAAAAAGAAAAAAACCATACGTAGTGCATCAGTTAGAGGATTAAAATTTTAGAGATCAAAGTAAAATAAACCTAAGAATTTTAAAAAATTAAATTAAAAAAACCTAAATCGATGAAAAAAAAAAGAAAAAACATATACAGTGAAACTAAACTAAAAAAAAAAAAAAAACACTTACTGCACGAATAGTGAAACCAAACTACTTTTAAAAAAGGAAAAAAAAAAAACCTTATTTGTAAAAAGTTGAGCGGCAAAGGGGGAAATAGTTAACAGATAAGTGTAAAATTTTTTTTTAAAAAAGCTTGAAAAACACTATTTATTAAATAATGAAAGGAATAATAAATGCACAATAAATGTGCCTCTGTTTTAGAGTATTTGTAATGTCTAAGGAAAAAAAAATCACAAAAAAAGACCCAAGAAAAAAATTAAAAGGAGAACCAATCAAAGGATAAATATGAAGTTTCCTAAATCCACAGAGCAATGAAAGAAAAATTAATGAAAAGTTTCGGGGGCTAAAACCAAGGAGCCCAACTATCTTGCTGGAGAAAAAAATATTTAAAAGTCAGCAACATGGCGCAATCCCACGGTCGCAAAAAGGATGTATTAGCGACTCAGATCAAAGAAGAGGTCTGAGTCATAACAAATAGTTCATTCGAGTCTAAAATAATAATAAATGAATAATATTTAAAAATTAAACATCATAATTCTTTTTAATTTTTTTGTTAATATCAAAATTTAATCTTTTTTAAGAGAATTTTTGGTCACTATAAACAATCAAATCAAACTGAGAGAAAATATTTGTTTTAAATATGATAGTTCAAGTCAAAATGGATTAAATTAATAGTATAAATCCCAATTTGCGACCACCTTACGGTCAAGAGGCAAAAAAATGCCTTAGTTTAGTTCGCCTATTGTATTAAATTAATGTATAAAAAAATTAATAAAATGTTTGAATTTTTCTAATAGTAAGAGTAAAATATTACTTTACTTAATGGACTCCAATAATCATTAGTTTACCCACTCAATTTTATCAATTGTTTTGGGTAGTTAACATTAAAAAATTGACGTGTCTTTCCATGATTGGACAGCGACCAAATAAAATTTGTTTCTCTGTTCCTTTTTTTCTTAAAAAAAGGTAATAACCCCATAATTAATAATTCGTAGAAGGAAATATGACTAATCCTAATCACACGAACTATTTATTATCTACCAGACAAACAGCCCGGCCACAGCCCGTGAATCAAGCAAAACAAACAGGAAAAAAAAAAAAAAAAAAACAAGAAGATTCAGGAACATAATACAGTAGCAAAGAGAAAACTGAACTGGGAAAGCGATGACTTTGGGTCTAATTAATGCAAACCCAGTGGTTCACGCCAAGAAAGAAAGGGTTGCTCGTAATGAAGATCTTCACTGCGATGATGCTGTTGATCCCCTTGAAATCTATGATATCCTCAATTTGATTCTTTTTTTTTTTTCGTTTCTTGAATTTTATTTTTTGTGTATCAATGACGTTTTGAATTAAAAAAAGTGTTCTTTAACTTTAATTAGCACATTTTGTCAGAGATATAAGAGATCCAGAGCATCCATACTCACTTGAACAGCTTAGTGTTTTATCAGAGGAATCTATCACTGTTGATGACAAACTTGGTCGTATTTTGTAAGTGTTTTTTTTTTTTTTTTCCTTAAATCAATTTAGTTCGTGTCAGTGGCTTTTTATTTATTGGACTTAATTATAGGGTTTTGGGTTACAATCTCTCTTTTTCTTTTTTTTGATGTAATGGACTTATGGGGATTTCTTTGTTTTTATTAGGATTACTTTTACTCCAACAATACAACATTGCAGTATGGCAACAATTATCGGTCTGTGTCTAAGAGTGAAACTACAAGAATGTTTCCCTCCACATTATAAGGTTGGTTTTTCAAGTATGATTTTTTCTTTTCTTGTTTTCACTCTATGTTTAGTTTCTTACTGTGGTTTGAATGCATTGTTGATTTTGGATTATTTGTAAATTCATTCGTTGTTTTTTTAGTTTCTTAATGTTAAAGGCTTTTATTTTTGTTTCAAACGCCAAAGTTGGATGTGATTTCTAGGCCGAAAACTGAATATTTGAATTTGCATGTGATTCTTTATGGTGTATATGGTAGTATACAGCATCCTTGAAGATTATTTCATCTGTCCTTGAATTTATGAATTGCTTGCATAGTTGGTGATTGACATCTACTATGTTTGTCACTTAACTAAACTGTGAATTACTTTGCTCTTATGTGTGTCATGTAGAATTGGTCATCTTGAATTGATAGAATGTTTAAACATGGACCTATCAAATTTACTTTCTCGCCACTGTTACGAAAGCCCTTGACTCTTGAAGTTGTAGGAAGAGGCTGAAGTTTGGATCCTTTATGTTGATGATGTTGACTGGCATTCCTTTCGTCATATCTTTAGTACTTCACCACCTGATCTATTTTGTAATCCAATATTATCATGGATGCTGCAAACACAGTTAACTTCCTTGGATGACTCTTAGATTGTTGTATGATTACAATCTCGAAATTGCGTTATATTATATTTAACATTGAAGTGTTTATGCTGTATTTGAATCTGTGGCCAATTGATATGCAGTTTTGGTTCTGGGTGGTTAATCTGCCTTTAATCTCTAGTGATTTCCACTAATGATTGCTTTGTCATCTCATTGTACTTTAGGGGAAAAAAAAAAAAAACTGGGAGTGCCATTATATTTGGGTAATCAAGTTCATATACGTCAATCCTTCAATATTTGATAATTGTTATGATACAAACGATACTCGCCGAGATATTTTCTTATCCACAATATGTTTGATGATACTTTTCTACAGGTTGACATTAAAGTCTTTCCTGGATCTCATGCTGATGAAGAAGCAGGTGAAGCTGATTTTGACATTTATTTTAACGACTCTTGTTTTCCAACCTTCTGTGAATTAGCCTATGTATCTTGGGTCTTGATCATTTATGCACTTCCTGTGCAAGAATGCATGCACGATGCACGTTAGTTCATCCAACCATTCCAGTTATTGTTGTTGAACGTGTTCAGAATCATATGCATGTACTAATTTATCTCAACCTTGACAAATGTCAGAGATAATAGAAATGTATGGCTTATATATGATCTCATCGTATTTTTTTCACTGGCCTTTAACATATCAGAGTCCACATGTTGTGCATATATAGATCTCTTCCGTTCTTCTATGCCCCCTAACTAATATAGTTTCTGAATTTGCAATTTCTGCAGTTAATAAGCAGTTAAATGACAAAGAAAGAGTCGCTGCCGCCTTGGAGAATCCGAATCTCCGTCAACTTGTGGACGAGTGCCTCTACTCCAATGAACTTTAACCAAGCACACCTCACCTGTTCAAAAAGCCCTGTACAGTTTCAGTTGGTGGTGAATTCAATAAACGAATTTTTGCTGATTTTGCTGAATGCAATGATTCCTTGGATGAATCCCATGAATGCATTTAGGAGGTTCAGTTTTAAACGTAGAAACTTTATGATGTAGTATGTTGCATCCTGTAGTGTACTCTTTCTGGTGACAAGCAGCTGTTTTGATTTAGTTAAATCTTGGCATTTCAAGCTGGAGAGGATGTCCGCTTTTGTCTTCTGGTATTTGAGCTCCTCTGGGCATTTCAGATCCCGCAGGATCAGTTCCTTTAAAATTGGACGTACCTAATCATAAATTAATATGATTTTGTTTACTATATTTATATATTATATAGTTTATATGCTGGAGAGTATAATTGCTCTAGTGAAGTGAAATGAATAAAAAAATCTTTTTACTTACAATTTCTTTTTTGGTAATAAAAAAGTATTCAGTTCAGTTCGGTGGAAATTGATGTACTCTTATTTAGAGTATACTAATATAGAAATAATTGTAAATATTAGGTTAGAAATAAAAAATAAAAAAAATTGGTGGACCCAACCCTTTGAATAATGACAATATCCACTATAATGATAGTAAAATTCGATGTAGATGAAATTGAAATGATAGATCCGTTTTTATCTTTCATTTTCATATTTCTTTGAACTCCAAACAAAATCTATCGATATTTCTGATTTAATCTTTTTGTTCCTAGTTATCTAGTTATTCTATAGGAAAGTTTGAGATACATTTACAAAGAATTTATTCTATAGCATTGGTTATTTTTTAGATCCCTTGTTTCGCTCCAATAGTATCATAATTGGTTTAATACAAAGGAAATTGATGCATCTTCGTACCATTAAATATTAATTAAATAAAATAAATAAAACTAGGAAGTATGATTAGGAAAAATAGATAAAAAGAAATACAATATAGATTGTACTACATCACTTATTCTGCTAAATTTTATGAAGCCTCACGCACAACATGAGTTTTAATGGCAAAAATTATTTACGTTCTATTGCAATTTGACAATCTTAGTCCTTTATTATTAATTTACTTCATTTGAATCCTAAAATATCAATTTTTGGAAAAATTTTATCCAAATTTGTAAATTGTAATGTTTGATCATTAATTTTTTTCTGTTGTTTTTTTTCGTTGTTAATTTTTTTTAAAAAATAATATTAAAAATGCTTCTTTTTTTTAATTTTTCAAGAGAGATTCTTTCTATTTAAAATTTTTACATATTAATCCCTTTGATTTTTCATAGTCAATCAAATTTTTATTTGCATATAATTTTAAAAAATAACTTTTATGTAGTATTATTATCCATTAAAACAATTAACTTCTATAATTAATAAAATACAAATATCTATTGGTTGAATTAATCGATTGAAATTATCAAATAATTAATTTTAACCGAAACTTTTTTTTTGTCGTACCAATAAATTAATTTATTCTTATGATTGTCAATCATTAAATTTTAAATATAGATATATTTATTTAATTTGTTTTATCTTTGCATGTTTTATAAGATTTTTTTCTCACAATTGATTCAAATATATAATATGCATTTAAAATTGTTATAGTTAGAAAACCATTTTAAAAAAAACTTTTCTAATTTTTTTTTATTTTTAGCTTTTTTAAAATAGGTTCAAAAAGTTAAAGCTCTTTTTAGGAAGAACCAAGAAAAAGTTTAGTTATTAATGAGCTTTTTATTTATTTATAGGTAAACGAGTGGGAAAAAAATCTTTTGAAAAATGAATGAAGGAAAACATTTAAAAAAAAATTAACAGCAGAAAAAAAAATTAACGATTAAATAAGTTGACCGTTATAATTAACGGATTTGGATAAGATTTGTCTAAAAACTGATATTTTGAAGTTCAAATTATGTGAATTGATAATAAAAATATGAAATTGTCAAATTATAATAAAACAAACAAAAGGAATAACATGATAGGTCTTATTATAAACACAATTCTCTTCAAACGAACCGGCCTATCCTATGTATGCGGTTTTTGTTAAATTTATGGTGAATCGATTGAATCCACTCCAATGTAAAGCTGTATGACTGCAATAATGGCTCCTGGTTAAGGCAAACTGCCCACAAAGGCATTCCGGGTATGGACATCTGCACTCAATTTAAGGAAAGTTCTGATCACTTCCTCTCGTTAGAGATAGGACACAGGCTGGAAAGTTAAGGCAGCATTTTGCCCCGACTCTGTTCATTTAGCTTCTTACTCGGTAGAGAACACGATCAGGCTTAATGGTTAGCGTTTGTCATTAAGATTAATCACACCATAAGGCTGGTTTCTCGAAAGATGACCTTAGTTTAAGCTGACAATTTGTTATGCCTATTCATGAGGACAACACTTAGCAACATGGTTGGCATGAATCCTTTACCAAGGCAGCGGTGGTGCAACAATGTCATGTCGTGATGGTAGCGGCATTTCCCTCAAATCTAAGCAGTCAAATTTTGCACCATCGATGCTGCCTAATTTTAGATCACAAGGCAGTGTTGGTGTGTGACAATTTCATGACTATTGAAGAAAAAGAATCCTCGAAAAGAAAAGTAGAACGATGAAAGCTGATACAGTACATTGCATAAATGATATTTCCTTTTCTAGTTAGAACAATGAGGTTGGGGAACATAAGGATAGAAGGAGATCATACAAGAGATGAAAAGGCAGAGGATGTATATTATTTTTAATAGTTAGAAGTAACCATTAGCTTAACAAAATAATGGTTATTCACCTTAATATTTTTTCAAGTTCCGTTCTGAGATTTGATGATAAGGTTTGTATCGGTTGATTTAGTCCAGGCTACACTGTCCATGTCTGTGGTCTCTTGCCAGCCAGTCCAAGCATCAGCCAGACTTAGCTAGCTGGGGGTGCAAGAGGTGTTGGCTCTGGTGCCACCTGAGCCGGTGAATGACCGTTAGCAATGTGGCTTGGCTTTTCATCTAATCCCCAGAACTTGGCTGTTTTTCCATCATCCTGGGCCATTAGTCGTGAGAACTCATCATGGTCATACTTCAGTGAGGCTTTTCCCCCGAACTCTCTTGGGAGGTTGTCGACATCAAAGAAAGACTTCATGAGCTCCATGCTATCTTCTTTGTTTGGGTAAACAAACTTCACCTTCTGGAAAGTCATTGGATCTAGAAAGTACTTGACAATCTACAGAAACAAAGTATTGTGATGTTAGTTGTAAAGAAGATAAAGGCGTCAAAATTTTCAAGCAATATATATGTAGCAATTTCATTGCATAATACAACAGAACAAACTTTAGTCTAAATTAATTTCCCAATATACTTTAAGAAATATATCTAGTTGACATATACCACCTAAAGAGCAAACAAGCATGTTATATGATTTTGCCTGAGGGTGGAAATGAGAGTTTTTATTACTAAACTTGTAATGGAGCAGACCTTCCCACCCTCTCCCGTCTCATCTGAATGGAAAATAGGATAAGAACGAAAACAAACAATTCAACTGCATGGGTGATAGAAGTGAACTGAAAGAAGAAAATGTGATCTAGAGGGCAATACTTGGTCCTCAACACATCTAGAATTGTTTAGACTAGATTTGGTAAAGTGGAATATCATGTAATGTAATGATACGCAAAAAAAAGAAGAATATAGATAGTCTGTTCGTTCCATTACATTTTATTATGTTCAATTAAGTTCTACCAAATGCATCATTTGTACACAAGTTGAGCAAATATGACCAAGGGTTCTCTGAAACATAGGGTACTACTTATAACCAATATACAATCGAAAAATAATTTGTCGAAAGATCAGTGATGTTCAGTTAATCCAAACATGAAATACCAAATATCAAATAGACTGCAATAAACATTAGGAAGCAGAACGCACCTTCCAAAATGCTTCAAAAATTCTAGGTGGATTATAAAGAAAAGCAACAGCAAGTCTTTCGGGGTAGTGGTTCTGTAAGATGTTTATGCATTCACGTGCAGTTTTGATGGGGACCTTGACGCTCAAACCCCATCCAGTGAAGTCTATCAACCATGACATTTGTTCTTGACCCTCAGAAAGGTTAAGAATACCATTCTCTATAAGATAAACCAAATGGCGGATATTGTCTTCTGCACATGTTGTGTTCTGCCAAAATGAAAGAAAAAGTGGAAGGTCAATCTACAAAAGCTAAGTCTCAAACTTTTTAAATGGGAAAAAGACCAATAAGACGACATCAATAAAGATAAAAAAGTAAAATCCTCGAACAAACCTGCATTCCTGGTCTCATTATGAGCACAGTCCTCCCAGATCGATCATGAAAATCTGCTCTGGAGACTTTACCCGTCTCTCCTTCATGAGCTACTTCATGCTGCACGATAGTAAGGGATTCAATTGATATAATGGAATGAAAATAATATCATAAAAGGTAGAGATATCAAGCATATATAGAATGGAAAAACATTATCGAAATTATTAAAAAATGTAGGCAATAATGCACACCCAGCGGATTTCTTCAGGCTTATAAGTTGCTCTCCACTTGAGTGTCTCTTCCAACATTTTCTTTGCCTTGTCAACATTCCAGTTTCTCGCAATTAAATATCTCCTCAGGCATGCATCAGTGCAGTACTTCAAACTTCGACCAGAAAGAGGTCCAAGAGCAGCCCTGAATTCACTGACCTGCTTGCAGAAAAAGTATTCAGCATCTGTTTTAAATCACTCCGAAAACGATCATGCGCAGACAAAATCACAATGTGGAATAAGTTTCGTTTCTGTTGTCCTCGGAACTGTGCTTTGGAATGATTGTAAATCTGTCACTCATTTCTTCATGAGATGACAATTACAGGGTGAAATAAAAACCCAAAGCTTTCTACTAAATGCCTACCAAACTTTAACACTACCTTTGCTTCTTGTTCTGCAAGGCCATTCTCCTGATGATTCTGAGAGTGCTTTCTACGAAACATGTTAACTGCCAACAAAGTTCGACCTATGGTAAGTAATCTTCAACCAAAAAGTGTGTCAAGGATAATTATTTCCAGCCAATTTATTTTGCAGCAGAATTTATAGCCTCTCAATGTTATACATTGCTCTAAGAAAGGAGAAGCACAATCAATCAGGCAGGCTGAGATAAAAAGACCATCAAATCGCATAAAAGAGCAATGGAAAGGCAACCTACACCTGAAAAATGCAGGATTTGTAGCAAACTCATAGACAGACCAACTATATTGATTATTTTATCTTTATTTGAATATAAAAATTAAACTTGCCAACATAAAGACTTTCATGAACTATAGGTTGTATTCCACCATACACAATCTAATGGCAGACAAAATAGGAATCTTTGGCCAACCTTTCTTCTTCAGATTATTTTTATCTCCTTAAAAATTGTTTGCAGTGTATTGATCTATTTTATATATCAGCAAAGCAAAGGAAGAATCCATGACTGAATCAAACACCGATCACTGAGACAACACATTGACTTACCTAATCCAACCAAACCTTATACTTTGGTTTCTAAACATAAACAAAGAGATTTCGGATCAGTTCAGTTCCTTGAACCCAAACCTCTGAATTTTTTTAGAGTCTAGAATATCCAAACATCTACACGGCACCGGCAACCTTAGTAATTACCGAGCACAGAAAGTACAACCTAAAACTCACCAAACTAAATGACTTATCAAAACATGAACAACCCACCGAAGAAAATTCAGCAGTCTCAAATAGCCTAACAATTTCCCAAAAAGCTAGATTCTTGAGCTCCATGTTACATTAAAAATAAAAATAAAAAACCACAAAACAGCGTTTCAAGAGTAACAGATCTCCACCAAATTCATACACAACAAAACCCAGATGAAAAAAAAGGCCACTTGGTCATGAAATGTAGACTTTAACAAACCTGGTGAGTGGTGAAGCAAAACAGAGAGAGCTCTCTCAGTTTCTGAAGTGGTGAGCAATTAAAAAGCCACTTTCTTTAGGTGAAGGAAAGGATTCGGGTTCTGTGGAGAGGCAAGAAAGGTGTGACTTTTAGAATTAGGTAGTGGTCCTCAAGAGTTATACATTTAACCTCTTTAAAAGGAAGGAGCCAAGGAAGGAGCCAACCAGACACGCAAGAAAGAGAAAGGGAGGGAGATTTGTTCAGAAGAGCCAGATATGTACCTTTATAGTGGGAAAAGCAAAGAGCTAAGCGCCAATGGACATGACTTGGTATCCTTCCATAGGGCAGGGTGACAGGGGCAGCTTCTCGTGGAAAGTGGGATCTAGCCATATTTTGCACATTGCCTACTTTCCTTCTAGAGGCAGAAGGACTTTGTGGACTGACTGAGAGAGAGGATTAAAGCCTACATTAATTTTTTTTCAGTTGGAGAGTATAAATATCACGGAAAGGGTATGAAAATAGTTGTTGAAGAAATTGATATCTTTTTTATTATTTTTCTTTTTAAATAATTTACACATTCAATACTCTTATAATAAGTAATATGATAAGATTTTAATTCATAACTTCTTGTAAAAGATTATTATTATCGATCGAGTAATTTTATAATACACAATTCATGACTTTTTATAAAAGACCTCTATTGCTAGACGAGAAATTTTATAAATACACAAAAGAGTAGTTAATGATATGTATAGTAGTTCTACTTTAAGGAGAGAGATATGCATATTGAATTACATCCGAACTCACCAAAAGTGATAAGAAGATTTTCACGTTCGCTCAATTTTTTTTAATTTTTTTTATTATGTTTATCTCTCTCCTCAAAGTGGATTTATGAAATAACTACTATACATACAACTAATTACTCCTTATGTATTATAAAAATCTTATTAGTAAACTACAAGCTTTTTAGTAATTTATAACCTTCTTTATATGCATAATATGCTAAGAATTTATGTTATCACCTTCCTTGGAGATTAATTTTTCAGGTTATTAATTTTTGAACTAATGAATCTATAAAAAATGTCTTTCTTACTATTTACACTTAAATTAGAATATGAGTAGTTTTATGACGAATTAACCTACTTTCCTAATGTACTCAAGAGGACAAGAGACTAATGATAATGATATTGTGAATAACATAAAACAATGGTGGTTGACTACTTGAACTGGTGAGGTCCGTCACGGACTCTAAACTTGGAGTTTATTGATTTTCAACATAAAAAAAAGCTTAGAGATTAAAAAAAAAAAAATATGAGTTAGGAATTAGCTTTTAACTCGAGTTTTTCGTATACACGGTACCATTGATGATGTTTCTTAACTTATATACGGATGATGTGGCTCTCTAATGGATGTTTATAAGATGTGGTGTTTGTCGATGAGTGGTGATTGTGTTAGATAGAGGAGAAATTTTATAATACATCGGGAGTAACTAAGTGACATGTATAGTAATTACTTCATGAGCCCACTTTGAGGAGAGAGATAGACATACAAAAAGAGAGAGAGAAACATGAGAGAGAAAATAAAAAAATTTGAGTGGACATGAAAATCTTCTTAGTACTTTTGATAGGTATAGATGTAATTTCTATCTTTTTTTATGTGTATATCTCTCTCTTCAAAGTGGACTCATAAAGTAACTACTCGTATATATCACTAGTTACTAATGTATTATAAAATTTCTCTTAGATAGAGTATATCTAAAATAGGGCTTCTTGATTGAAAGGAGGATTTTTTGACAACTAAGTTAGTGTAAAAAAAAAGAACATTAACCAAAGAAGGAAATGACATTGGTGTAAGGAAAAAAGTGAACAATAGAGTAAGTGAAAAGATTTAAAATCCTTAGTTTTAGGTTTTTTTGATTGTTTATATAACTAAGAGACTCGTCAAGTTAGATGAAAAATGAGATAAAATGATTTATTTTTTATTATTATTAACAATCTCTTATACGAGTTTGGGAGATAAATAGGTGTTATTAATGTTGATGAATTATTATTAAAAAAGTACCATGATATTGTAATTGATGTAAGTCAGAAAAAAAGTATATTTGAGGAGCTTCCTTCATTTATTAGATTTACTATTTGTTATTTTTTATCCATAAGAATTGATCTAACCCTCCGAGCTGTGGTTGACCCGGTTCCGATTCTCTTTAGTGATAGAGAAATTTCCACCTATCCGTATCACGGACGCGATTTTATTCCCTCAGCTTTTGCCCGCGTGTACCATATGAGAGAGAAAAAAAGAGAGACATTTGCATCGTAGAGGCTTTGTGGAACGGTTAAACTGCATACATGTCATCCGGACATATCAAAAAAACACGATCATTTTCTAAGGGGAGAAAAAGGGGATCGTCTTCTTTTTTAATTTCCTCGTGATGATGAAATAATAACAAGACAGCAGTTCGTTTTTGACTCCTCCACAGGTTCTTTCTGACATTGTCTTCTTTGACCTTTTTTTGGGTATGAATTCTTTTTATTTCTTCTGTGTACTTCTTTGCATCAAATTTGAACCAGATTTTTATTTAAAGAATGTAGAACAAGGAGGAAAAAAAATCAAATTTAAGCCGTTTCAATGAAATTTAGAACATCAGGCATTGTTTTTTTTTTTCAAAACAATAAGCATCATTAAATATATTTGAAAGCAAGTACTAGATGATTGGATACGAGTTGAAAAAACTTCCGAAACACATAAGAATTCTAAACAGGGTACGCTGGACTCTTCTATTTTCTCCTGTCATCAATCAATTTTTATTTAATCTTGACAGTTCTCTACATTGCGGTCAATTGGGGGCAATTAACTTTAACGTTTTAAGCCATATAATAAGAGTTGAAGGAAAAAAAATAAATACATTTCAAGATTGTGGTCAATTCTGATTAAAATATCACAACTAGAAACAATAATTTTGGTCCATGTGTTGGTGCTACGTATACTTGACCCAATTTTTGTGCCGAACTTGCGGAGATTTGATGAGATTTCACCATATAGTTATATGCATTGACAACTATTTTGTTATTAAACTCTAAAATAAAAAATATATATATATATTGGTACAATATTGTACAGGTTTTATGCATTTCAAGATCTCGTATAATTTAAATTTTTGACTAAGATTCTAAATTTTTTTCTATCGAATTTAAGAGTTTTACTCTTACGTTGTTATTGTTTCGGACCCTAGCCAATGACAACTTGCAACGTAAGCATACGCGACAAACTCTAGTCAATGATACCTTGTCACGTCACCAATTCAATCATCTAATTTGGATTCATCATAACATGTGATAAATTGTCATTGGACAGAACTTGCTATATGAGCTTATATCATACATTAAGGTATCAAACAATAACAATATAAAAATAAAACTCATAAATTAAATAAATAAATAAAAAGATTTTAATAAAAAAATTCAAATTACATAAAATATCGATATGAGCAAAACCCAAATATTGGGCGGTGTTTCCACCAAAAAGACTAAACTGATGGAAGGAAAAGGTGTTAGCTACTAGTCTTTTGAGGTTCTAATTTCTGGGTCAGTCAAGCGGGCGTGAGACTTAATCAGAGGTACAGATGTTTAGAGGTCGATGTGATTCATATAGCTTTTAGGTCCATATTCTTTGCCGACGATTTTGAACAAGCCAACAACCAAAGACAAAGGAGGGACAGGAATAATGCAGCCACTCTTCTGATCTTTACCCAAATCAATGAAGATAGGATCGAAGATCCATCTCTTCTTTACTCGGCAGGTTTTATTTGTTTTCACTTGTCCTGTTTAAAGCGGGTCCTGCTGTTACTTTTCTTTATTTCTGTTGCCTTCCTATGCAAATTACATTTGGAATTAAACTGGTAGTAATATTCGACCAAGCAACTTGCATAAAATAGATCATCCCCATCAGCCGTCCAAGCTTTCTTGGGCTCCTCCGAAGGTTCATTTATTACCATTGTGATGCAGCATACTACATAAAGTTCAGGTGGCTGATAGACAGCAAAATTTATATGGTAGCTATGTATTCTGATGAATGTTACGACAACCATTAATTATCTTTTTAAAATATCATAATGGATAATGGATTAAACAAAGATAAAATAGTATTATTTATTTATTTTAATAGATAATTTATTCATGAATATGTGTATCTTTTTTTACTTTATTGATATCCATCTTGTACCCATTAACATAAAAAAAAATACTAAAACACAAAATTAAAGAAAAAAAAATAAAGCATCAAAGTTTAGAAATTACTTGGAGTGTTAGGCTATATGAACGGAATAGCACTCAACTGAACCACCTCCTCATGACAATATATACTTTTATCCGATACTCGCATCTTTCCGTGTTTTTTAAATTCTTTTTTATTGTTTGTAAGATCATGTTTCGGGATCTTAACTTTTTTTTTTTTTTTTTTTTTGCTTTTTCTATGAACATTGTTTGAATCATGCCGTCTTTATAGTTACAAAGCAATGCAAGAATGATGCAAAATCTATCCATGAGTCAATAGTGTTCATAACAAAAAAGTCAATAGTGTTCATAACAAAAAAAAATTATCCCTGAATCATCTGTGTTTGTAACACAAAAAAAAAAAAAATCAGTAAAAAAAAATTGAAAAAACAAGTTTTTAATTTTTTTTAAAAAAATTAACGGTAAACAGTTATAAACAAGATATGATATAATAGGTCTAAATTGAGTAAAGAAATGAACAAGTGATTTTTAATGATAATGGATAAGATAATATTTAATGGATAGGGTATGTGATTAGCTTAATGGGCTGGATAACAGGCCCATTGCCATCCCTGGAGGACCGAATCAAGGTACATTTCTCCATCTACAGTGGGGAAGGAAGGAATGCACGAGCTAAGAGCCATGAGCTTATGAGACATGACTTTCAATCTTCGTATATTAAGGGACTAATGCTGTGGCTAGTGTCGAACATTTTCTATAGGTGAGGATGATTTTGTGGAGAGGCCCCCTAATTAACACTAATCCTCCTAATGCTCTTGAAATTAATTAAGCTCCCACGCATGGAAAATTGCTTTATGTTCATTTTAACCCATATATATATATATGGCATTTTCATGACAATTTTTATTTGAATTTTGAGTAGTTAGTTGTGAAGAAGTACGTTTTCCTTGGAAAAAATAATAGTAGCGTACTCTGTTAGCGTACCCTGTTATCTCAATTGATGAATAAGACAGAGGGATCCCTTTTTGACTTCTTCACAGGCCTTTTCTAGCCATTTATTCTCTGATTTTTACAATTTTTCCTCTCTTTACATCAGTCTGTTTGATTTTTTTTTCTTTCTTTCTTCAAAACAAACGTTTAAAATGGAAGTATGACATCTAGTTAGTCCAAACCCTGCAGGCTATGTGTTATTTATGTGTCTTCATATGCATATAGGAACCCAGTAGTATTAGCAAGAGTTTGGCCAAGAAACTTGCAGACAGATCTTTCCTATCTGCCTTTCTTAGTCTTTTTTGGTGTCCCTTTTAATCTATGAAATTTGGTAGGAAGGAATCAAAGATGGTGTTCCTCAAATTCTAATTCTAGTGCTTGTTGGTGTCCTTCTCCTAGTGGTAAAACTAAGTTCAATGTTGATGCTTCTTAGAACCAGCAAACAAAAAGACATTGAACATCAGTGTCTTGCAGCTAAAATTGTCCAATACAGTTGGGCTATGTAAAGGGGTTGGAAAGATTTTTAGGGGGACCAAAGCCATTAGGTGTTGAAGTTTTCCTTCAAGAGATGAAGATATGTTACATTTTTTTCTGCTTTCCAATGCATCTCTATTTTGCTCAACTTGAGCACAACATTATATATCTTATCGGCTTTGGCAAAGAAACGAAAAATCTATCAGTATATAGCATGGTATAATGGATTCAGTGTCATCTTCTCTGGAACATTCAGGTTGATCAACATCAAAATTTGCAAGGCAACTATGGGAACTTCCGAGTACCAAACTGTTTCCAAGAAAATGGGACATGATTGAAACTTGAAATCTGTTTTCAATTTCTTTATTCATTTCCTCAGCCTGTTGCGGTGAAAATCATTGAAGTTAATACATATAATTGAAACTATCTTAACAATAGTTTCTTTTCATACAGCAGATGATAGTTAGCACTAAACATGAGGGCATAATGGATTATTTTTGTTTGCTCTCTGTGATTTCCAGTTCCTTTTTGTACATGTATAGTCCAAGCATCGTTTTCCTTTGTCTCTTCAATTTCTAGCTTATCAAATCGAGCCTCAGGCAGACCAGATTAGCTAGCTGTTATTGCAAGAGGAGCTGGCAGTGGTGCCAGCTGCGGTAAATGGCCATTAGCAATGTGACTTGACTTGTCATCAAATCCCCAGAACTTTGCAGTTTTTACATCATCCTCCACCATCTGCCGTGAGAACTCCTCATGGTCGTACTTGAGGGAGGCTTTCCCTCCAAGCTCGCTTGGAAGATTGTCCATATCGAAGTAAGACTGCATGAGCTCCAAACTATCTTTATTTTTTGGGTAAACAAACTTCACCTTCTTGAAAGTTATTGGATCCAAGAAGTACCTGACAGCCTAAAGAGATGAAGCACCAACAGGTTCAGCAATACGAAGATACAGGCGCTAAATCTAAAGTAATATAAATGCAGCAATTTTATGCATTCTGCGAAACCAGAAAGCCTAGGCCAACGTAAACGGCGAAACAAGAACTACCGTATCGATCCGACGGGGGTCCTAAATATTTTATTCTTTTAGTTATTCATGAGGCAGACCTCCCCCAATCTTTCCCTGGTTCCTACTCATCATCAGCAAAGAAAGGAAGGCAGGAAAAGAAAATAAAAGGTCAATTGTGCAGGCGGTCAAAATAAACCAGAAGAATTGTGATGCCCTCTAGAGCACGATTGTTGGTCTTCAACAAACTTAAATTTGACTATGAAATGGTAAGAATGCGACGAAAATCGATACAATTACACAAAGTTATTAAGATCATTCCTTTTCAATTTTCATTTCATTCTTTTGCATTCCACCAAAGAATGTTACTAGTGCACAGGTTGACCCAACATCAGTATTCTCAAAAGAATACCGAGTACTAACTCTGGAGGATTTCCTACTTTTACCCAAACTATTCCTCCGACCCATGAAAGAACATTTTCTATACATATCCAACACCAAACAATATGCCTCAATGTACAAGAAAAAAGAAAGATGGTAATTTGCCTATGATCAGTGAGTATTCTGTTGATTATAATCAAAATAAACAAAATGGACGTGAGACAGAAGAACAAACCTTCCAGAATGCCTCAAAAATTCTTGGTGGGTTATAAAGGAATGCAATGGCCAGCCTTTGGGGATAATGGTTTTGCAAAATATTGATGCAATCACGGGAAATTTTGAGAGAAATATTGGTGCTCAAGGACCATCCAGTGAAGTCTATCAACCATGACATTTGTTCTTCACCCTCAGCAAGGTTAAGGATTCCATTTTCTAAAAGATAGACCATATAGCGGACATTGTCTTCAGTACATTTTGTGGACTGCAAAATTGCAGAAGAAAAGGTCAAACCTCAGTTTGCAAAAGCTGAGCCACAATATGCTCGATTAAGAGGCAGAAAAATAAAAATCTCGAAGTAAAGATAAGCAAAAGAAAACCCAGTACAAACCTGCATCCCTGGCCTCATTATAAGAACAGTCCTCCTAGATCGATCATGAAAATTTGCTCTTGAGATTTTACCTGTAGTGCCTTCATGTGCTACTTCGTGCTGAAAAATTACATGTGTATATGTCACTAAATAATTGGAATGAATAAGATCGTCCAGGATCGGAAAAACAAAACTTAGATTTCTCCAAGAAAATTAAATATGCAGGCAATCATTGCATCCTACATACCCAGCGGATTTCTTCAGGCTTAAAAGTTGATCTCCACTTCAGGGTCTCTTCCAGCATTTTCTTTGCCTTGTTAACATTCCAATTCCGAGCTTCCAAATATCTCCTCAAGCAAGCATCAGTGCAGTACTGTAAACTACGACCAGATAGAGGTCCAAGAGCAGCTCTGAGTTCACCAACCTGCTTGTCGGAAAACCATTTAATGTAAAATTTTAATCCACTCGTGCACTCCTTCAGGAGATAAAATTACAGGGTGAAAAATCTTTGACTTGAACTTTACCTTTGCAACTCGTTCTGAAGGGCCATTCTCCAGCTGAGTATGTGGTTGCCTTCTTATAAGATACATGTTGACTGCAAAAAGAGATTAATTCATGTAAAGTAATCAATCCTCTTGATATAACTAGAAAAATTCAAAAAAAATTATGAGATTTTATCTTCTCCTTTACTTTTTAAAGCAAAATTAGTATTCAGAGGAAAAGAACCTCCCCCATGGAAATAATTTTCATCGAGTAGGCTCTGTTCTGCCATAGGCAAATTTGTTTTCTTTCTTATGTTATTCTCTCTGTCCCAAAGAAATTGTCTATTTTTTTCACAACAAAAGAGGTGAAATAAAAATAAAAACCATAACAAGAATTTTGGATACAGAAATGCCGAACTAACAAACCTGATGAAGCAGAAGTGAAGAAGAACTTTCTCTACTCAGGCTCTATAAAGGCCTCTTGTTTTTCAGAAAATGGAAAGGTGGGGTTTGTGGAGAAGATGAAAGTGATGCGTTTCAGTAGGAAATAAATGTCATTTATTTCTTGAACCAACTCAGAAGTAGTCTTCAAGAAGAAGAGAGGGAAAGGGCTGGTTTTTGTTCAAATGAGGCAGCTTTCTGCTTTTATAGTGAGGAAGCAAGAGCCAAAAGACTTGACCAGGCATTCCAAAAAGTCTGAACGATCAATTGCTTTACATTTAGTTAGGCTGGTGAGGGTTCGTTTTCCGTAAGGTCATTTTTTCTCATCTTCTATAGTTTCCTTTGAATAGCGTTTTTATAACATGAAAGTCAAAGCATATACACAAATAGATTTGATATCATTTTCGTAAAAATCTTTTAATTTTTTTGATTATAACTCTATCAAACCATGTTGATTGTTAGAAAGGGAGAAAGCTACAACTGTAATTTCACTCGAAAATACATATTATTTCAATGGAGATTAGGTAATTCAGATAAAAAAAAAAAAAAGTATTATTTTAGATAATTTTAATTTTATGGAGCATTTTTCTCAAAATTATTATCTGAAAAATAAAAATTCTCGAAATTTATGGTCTCTCTCATCAAGGGATATATATATATATATGTTTCAATTGACTTTTAGTAGTAGAAAAATCTTAATCAAATATTTATCATTCAATTATATTAAAATTCATAAAAATTGTATCATCAAAATTTGAAAAAAAAATATAAAATGTGATATTATTTCAATAATGAAATGCCATGTCCTTAGTTTAATTTGAATCTATGAATTTTAATATGATTGGTACCATTAATTATGGAAATTTCAATTGTGATATAGATGAAAAAACATATAAAGTATTACTAGTATTAAATTTTATATTTTACGCAATTAAAACGTTTTTTTTTTTTTTTGAAAACAAGAATATAAAAGATTGAAAAAAAATCTATGTTAACGCGTTTTCTTTTATAAAAAATCTATGGTAACTTCGTATTAGATAATTATAATTCCATTAAAATATATAAGATTTATAGTTTGAGTTAGTATATTTTTATCAATAGTTTCTATATATTAAAAGTATAAATTTGAGAAATATGAAATAAAAATAGAAAATACAATCCTAATTGAAAAAAAAAAGATAGTTATTGAGTTTAACTAAGACTTTTTAAAATTTTAAAAAGTTCAGTTGAAATATGTATAAAAAAAATATTACATCATTAGTTGTGCTAGTTTAATAAATAGAAAGAAAAAATATTGAAATTTGATAAAAATTCAAGAGATAATTGATACAAACAAAATCTCAATAAAGAAATTGAGAAACCTCTCAAATTTCAAGGGAACAAATTAAAACTTACTCAATGTTAAACATTTGCTTCAACCACTAATTAATGCTATGGTTAGTCCAAACTTCTTGCCGAACATAGAGATATTACTAATGCATGACAGAGACTTTTTCCCTGTCATGTGTTTTCATTTTATTGAATTTCTTTACTCTCCAAAGATGTCATTAACACACGCAATGATCCGATTAGTAGTGTTTTTTTACTTTAAATGTTTGTATTATTTTTTCTTGCCTGTTGATTCATAGATCAAGTGTGGCTTAAAGTGGCATTTAAAAAAAAAAAAAGTCAAGAGTACATAAAGTAAGTTATAAATCAGTCGCTCTAGTTTTGAAAAACGAATTAATTAGTATTTTTATTTTCAAAACAATTATTTAGTTCCTATATTGTTAAATTTTCTTATAATTTAATCATTCATTTATTTATTTATTTATTTTGACTTAAAAAAAAAGATAATATAAAAGAAATTTTATAAAATAAAATAATATTGAATTACACGTAGTCGATAAATTAAATAATTAATTTTTTAACTAAAAAAGACTAATTAATTATTTTTTTAAAAATAAAGAGATTAATTTATAATTTACTCAGAATATGTACATTCTCAGGTTAGCAACAACAAGGATGTGAATCTCCAAATTAACAAACATACCAAAAAATAAAAACAAAAACTAGAAAAGATTGTACTTGAAAAATTACTATCAACCATGACTGACCGTATACACAAACTCTCCGAGATGGGCTTTGTGTAAAGGTTCGAATTTAAGAATGGCTATTAGCCGAGCTCTTAACCAGTTAATCAAAGATTTGTTCCTTATCCTAGGCTATTTGAGACAAGATAAAACTTGGTAAGGCCCAAATCAAGGCCCAATTTCAATCAATGATCGATTGTTATTATTGGTGCTAGCAGTAGCCTAGCACATGGAGCATTGAATTTCTTTTATTCTTTTTTTCGAAGAACAGATATATGATGAGCTAGTAGAAAAGAATGATAAAACTTAGCCCAGCTGTCTTCATGACGAAGAGCAGACACCATCACTACTTAACCCACCTGTCTTCATGACGATAGGAAACACCATCCCTAGTTGTTGGATCCGTTTTATCTTATTACATTATATTAAATATTAATCCTTGAGCAGATGGATATTGACTTTTTTTTCTTATTTCTAAAGCATCGTAAGCTTAAAAATTCATATTAATCTATCATACGATTAGAACTTATTAAATTCAAATCAAACGTTAAGATGTTCACTTTCTTGCAAAACAAGATGGTGTTTGCGTCCATTTAACTAACAGCTAACAAGGCAAGTTACCAACTAAAATAAATAAAAATATTCCACAGACCAACATTAGTCAGGTCCTTACCAAATCTCTGAACTATCCTCCACAGGTTATCGAGCCAAAACACAAATAGAAACGAAACCAGTGTCACCTTGATTCTCAAAAGAAAACGACCTCACTAATAATAATTGAGAGAGACAAGGGTTTTTTTTTTTTTTTTTTTTTTTGTACCAAGCAAAGATTCAAGCAAGACAATGGAGCTTGTTTGCAGAAGCTTCAGGCTAGAAAGAGGTTCGTCAATAAAGCTAGGGAGATCGAACAGTTCGCTGCTGGTATCAGAATCTATATCTTCAGAATGTGCAAAAATTGCGGGCTATGAGAGGCTTTCAGCTTCTATGAGGATGAGCAGTGAGCAGGATATCAGATATAGGAGCAGGAAAAGCAGGGCTTTCATGTTTATAAGTAAGGTTTTCAGCTTCAGGAAAATCTCTGGCGATTGTGAGACAAAGCAGCAAGCAAATATGGTGACTCAGGAGGAGAAGAAGAGGAAGAAGAACAGGTCTTCGTGGCTTCCTGATCCTGGAAGGAGATGGCCTGTGCAGGGTTGGTGATTTCACAGTCGAAGCCAAGGAGGTATGGAAATAAATATGATATTCAACTAAGTTTGCTCTCCTCCAGATCTTATACGGTGAGAAAATTGAAGAAATCTCAAGGGAGAAGCTAGAAAGACTGAAGAAGTGCTGAAACTGTCGATGAGAAAGCAATATGTAATGTTTCCCACTCAATCATTAGATTGTTCTTCTCATCAATAACCCAATTTGACTACTTATGGCTTGGTGTAAAACGAAAGCTAAGTAACTCCGTTGGGCCTGGAATGCTTGGCAGAAAATAATTTTCTTGAGAGTTCAGAAGTTCTTGTACACCTAAAGTACAATAGATTTAGCTTATGACGCTACTAGTTATATTTTGTAATGTCCATGAAGAATACATTTCTATCTATAAAGAACATGCTCAGGCTACTTGAACGGTTGAACACCTTGATTATGAGCTTTAGGTCTCTTGAAAGTTCTTGCCTATGAACTTGCGATGCGAACACATCAATATATAGGCAAAACACATACGAATGTAATGAGAAAAGGCTTGCGATCAAGTTACCTGCCGCTCCTCGAAAAAGTTCACCTTTACAACTAAAATCAATGGATTCAGCACTGTCATTTACAGTAACACTCAATTGCATCTGTCTTCAGGGTCTCAAGGTAATGCAACCAAAAGTGATTCGGCTGCTCCATGAAGCATCTGAAGCATTTGAATCTGTTCGAACATAAGAACATAGAAGTCCCAACACTGAAAGGTGTTGTTATCGAGGACAGGCCTGGGACAAATCTCTCATGCTTCCCTGAACATTTATGAGGTAGACAGTGAAAAAACCGAAATGGATCGCTACACAAGTTCCCTTTTGCAAGCAATCAGTAAATTACCACTCGAGAAACTACATCGACACAAGAATAGGAGACTAAGAGCACCATGATCAGTGGCTTTAGGTCTAGAACGGGGATGATCCAGCAGAAAAATAACTTTTGGAATGTAAATTGGCATCTTCAGTAAATGCCAATAAATTCGAACCAGCAATCCTGGATTTTCGAACTTGTGCTACTTTGCACATGACAAAGAAGAACATACACGGTTCATATATTCGCATATATTTCGGATGTGTGCAATAGCGATTGAGAGCCATTGGTGTTCTGAATTTTTTGCCAATATGCTGACAAATCATTCGGCACAAAACTAACCTCTCAGACTTAGCACATCCTTAAGCAGAATATAGCATGCAACATATTCATAAATCGTTGTTCCGAATTGAGGATCAAGGAAACTTTTGCTACATACATATTTCAACAGGCAGACCTCAGAGATCCTGATACTGCAATCAAACCACAGTTCTTGCGAAGGATACCTAGCATACAATTGACAATTCGTGCTTTGAATTACCGAAATTGGAAGAAAGAAACAAATAGAATGCATAGCCAATGTAACACTGCGAGTGTGCACCCGGGAATAAGGGTTGCAGAGGAAATCCTCCACACGGTCCACCCCAAGAAAAGGAGTCTGTTTTGTTAGGCTATTGACCTGCCATGGCAGAGACCTTGATGAACATAAAAGCAAATCAGATCAGCCTTTTCAATCTCTCTTGCGGCAGTTGGCTCATTTCTTTTCTAGCCAAATCAAGTCAGCCTTCTCTACACAAAGCTATTAAATAAGAAAGACAACAAAAAATGTAAAAACTCTTTGTATTGTTCTCTTTAAAGCTTACAATTCTAAAATTACACTTTTTTGTTTTTTGAATGTTTTGGCCAAACGAAAACCTTAACTATTTATAGTCCTCCACCTCTTCAATGAATGACTAGGATACAATTGATTCTCTAGACTTATCATATCTAAATATTTACAAAAAACTAATTAGATATGAACAAATTAGATAATTAGGTATTTTTTAGAATTTTCTAGGACTTATCTAGATTTCTCTTAGATATCCTAAAGGCTTCTCTTTGACTCCATAATTTTTTAGAAGATGCTTTCAGGCTTATCTAGCATTCTCAATGACATTCCCAATTGACCTCAAAAAAACACTCTTTCAAGCAGGCGTAACAATAGGCTAATATTCAAAGTTGGGAGTGCCACAGAGCCTTAATCGGTGTATAGGGCAATTGGATTTCAAATTTGGTAGAGGACATGAACGGACCCGGAAACAAGATTTGAACTTGCAATGCCTTTGTTGTAACGGAAAGAATTCAGCCCAAAAGTAAAGGGGCTGTCTTTCGACGAAACGTCCGACTTTGAAATGATGTACGTCCAAAAAAAGTACAAGTTAATTGAATACGTAAAAACTTCAGCACACAATTTAGTTTCTCGTATTTGCTGTTTTCTGTGACTAGAAATCAACTTAAAACATCCAGTCTACACTATTTTTAAAGCACAAAAGCTAACAAATAAATTAGCCATCAGTTGTTAACGAGATCTGAGTGGATTTGAACCACCAACCTCTCAAAACCCCATTCTGGGACAATGAGCGCTCTACCATTTTGAGCTTACAGATCTTCCTGACATTGAATGGTACATCATGACAAAAGTTCACTCTCTTTTTAAAACTACTCAAAATTACCCTTTTCACAGGGGCATAACCCAAAAAACATTTGAAATGTGCACATCATAAAAATCACATCGTGCGTTCACTCCCTCCAAAACGGGCAAAGATACCTTCACATATTTGTACGAACACTAGTATATATATATATATATATATATTGCCACCCAGACTGAGAAACAATATACACAATGCCTCCCGGACACAGATAAACTATTGCTCCATATGGCTTTAAAACTTTTTGCAAAAACCCAACAGAACTCAGTGTAGAAGACGAAGACATTAAATCATTTAAAAAGAAACACTTCATCGAGCTTCTTTCAAAGCAAATCTCATTCCCTTTTCGTTAAACCAACCAAATGGCATTTTTCTGGGCCTTTCGAGGCTTTGAATAAAAAGCAACATCATCATTAACCTTGTTTTGCCCAACTTTTTTATCATCAAGACCCCACTTAACGCAAAGGTTATTACTCCAAAATCATTTACTTCAAAATCATTTGCATCTTGTCTTCCGACTTTTGAAAGGACAAAAAATTAAAACAAATCACTGACAACCATCATTGATGGCATCAGAATTTTTTTTTTTTTTTTTTTTGGCTTTAAAAAACTTACGCAAACCAATTGTATGCATCTTGCACAACAAACAAATATTACATTTTTCGCTTCTAACATCACAAAATAAAATGAATAAATAAAATATCATGCCCCACAAGACCTTAGCATTTCCTGCAAAGGCACCAAATACAAAGCCTGCATTCCTTTGTTTACATGGATGGGACTAACAAGATTTAACATAGGCTCAATACATACACAACCTACGCAGAGACAGTACCAAAAACGTTTTAAGGATTCAAACTTACACGATTTGTTTTCAAAACTCCTAAAACGTATCAGTGCTACAACATACGGAAGATGCAAAAGAAACTAAACTCCTAAAAGCATATAGTTAAAAATAATTCCAGACAATACTTCCAAGTCTTATGATAGTAAAAGATAATATTTTCTAAACTATGTTTTGGAACACATCTCAAGTAAGAGAGGGCTTCCAGAAACAATAAACATCATAAGACCTAACAATTTATGTAAAGCAATGACACAACATCAATACAACGTCCAAAGAAATAAAAAAGACATCTTCTGCCATAATGAATTAGCATTATAATATTCATTTCCTGCAGAAAAATTTATACTAAATCAAACTTTTAAAAATTATGAAGCACTAGTTCACATCGAAGAACCTTTTTCACCTCAATCATTGGCATAGAATGGCGTAAGCTGAATTGTGGAGGTTGTGAGCTGCTCCATGAAAACGCTGTGAAGACCCTACTGAGCCGCTCCATTGAAAATGTTGTGAAGACCTCCTGAGCTTTCTGTCCTCCCTCAAAAGCCGTGGTCGCTGAGGTTGGGAAGTTCAAAGCCTCCAGAAATGAGGGACGAGGAATACAAATCCATCTTCTACACCAATATCCTATTGCTAAATCACTTGAAACCCAAAGAACCAAAAAACAGAGCCAGTTGCCTATCACACACCTACAACAGTTGCTTAAAAACCAACCCCAACATCCTCATCCATTATAGGTTTTACAAGGATATCTAGAGCACCGTGTGCAAATTTACATGACTGCAACCAAATCTATAAAGGTACAAAAGCAACTGAATTACAATCAAATGATGTTTGCAAAGTCCCCACTAAAAAAAAAAAAAAAAAAAAAAAACACAACACACCAGTAACAAGACTTCATGTAGACGTTTGCTTTGTAATGACAAGTCAGAACGGTTCTATGGACATGGAAATTGTACGTGTTGCATGGGCATTTGATAATGAAATAAACTTACAGGGCCAAGATAGATTGAGACTTTATACTTTTTTCTTTTAGACAGACGACCTACTATAGGTAACAGAGAATTTCAAGCATTGAAACAAGTTTTGGTTGCATCCCTTAGTAAACCTTATTATCTACATAACCTTGTTCTAGTTGCATATCTTAGTAGCCCATAATATCTACATATGTATTTTGACGGGATCAAATATTGATAAACAATAAAGACCCCACACTACAATTCATAATCTCTTGCAAATGACTGATTCTCAGTGAGTGATATATTACCGATTAAATTGAAGTTCAGGAAATTCAAATTGAAAATACAAGTGAGAGAATACCTTTTGAGTCAGCATCGCAAATTGCAATATTATTTTGCACAGATGAATTGATTGCTAAGCTGGAGTTGCAGTGCCTCGTGAAAGGGCCGCGCGATCCAAGTTAGGCAAGGATTGTAAGGCAAAGAGAAATTAGAGAAAGCAGGACAAAGACAGCAGAGAGGAGAACCCGGGCAATCCCCGTGCGATCTCCTCTCCAAAACACGAAAAAATAATTTTATTAAGATTGTGGGTGACCTGCCATGCAAGCGCACCTGTCATGGCAAAGGTCGGATGACAAAGATACTAAACAAGACCCCAGCCTCCTGCAATCAGGAAGGCCTAATGGTCCCGATATATATCTTATACATCCTCATAAATAAATCAAACAACACCACCAGTTCTCCTTCCTCTCCTTCTCGATCAACATATTACAACACTTGCTAAAATCACAGCACACAGCTCTCACAACTCATCTTATCATCAGCTCAGCTGCATCAAGCAACACGTCTAGCGGATTCTATAACTGCCTCCAACACAATCTGCAGAAAAAAACATTCGGTTCATCTTCTGCTTTCCTCGATAGCAAAACAAACTATCACATAATTTCTAACCGCATCTAACCGAAAAGCATACCCTCAAGGAATAGATTCTGGGCTCGTTCGAGCTGAAGGAAAAGAGCCGCACCATATCTACATAACAAAATCAAATTTGAGCTGATTAATTACTTAATCATAAAAACAACAGGCAGAAATTGAATCAGCTTCAACTAAAGAGCATAAACAGATACATACCACAAGGTACATCTCCGATCAAATCAGATAGTAGAGCGTGAAATCATGGAGTTAAAAGGATCAATTGTGCTCCTTCTATCAAAACTTATATCAAGATGAAGATCGCAAAGCGATCTGCATGAAGCTGTAAGTGAAATGATCAAAAGAGAATCCATGATGAGTAGATCTAGAAATTTTAGAGCTGAAATAGAAGCAGAAGGTAAATGATGCCAGAGGATGATAAGGCGGAGAAGAAGGGAAAGGTGTGTATTATTATATAGAGAGGCTGAGAAATTGGACGGATGAGATTAATGGTTTTGGGTCAAACGATGGAGGGCTGAGATTTAGTTTACGTGGTTGAGCTGTTGCCTTGTTTGAAAATTAGGTGTCGATGTAGAAATGGACGGCACATGTGAGCTGGCAAGATAAGGATGGAGTTTCTTTTCGTAAATAGCATCTTGTTGTTTCTATTTCTAGTTTTATTTTTTTCATAGAAAATAATAAAAAACATTTGAATATAAATTTTCAAAATAGAAAAGAAGGGTTTTATTTAGCTTTTCTAATTCTAGTTTTTGCATATAAATTATAAAACACATTTGAATATAAATTTTCGAAATAAAAAAGAAGGATTCTATTTAGTTTACATTTAAAATACTCATGAATGTAAAATATTCGGCAAATCAAGACAAGAATCTCAGCTTTTATGTGGTGATGATTTTTTTTATATATAGTTTTTATAGTTAAAAAAAAATTATATGTATTTCTTGAAAACTATAGAAATTAAAAAAAAATGTATTTACCTACAAACAACTTTAGTTTTGAATAAGTAAACTTGTTTTTTATTTTTTACATAAATTTTTTAAAGAATTTTGTGTGTATGAACGAATCAATCGATAGCTTCCAAGTATTTGAATTGACTTGTTGTCTATGTAAACCGAAGGCATCAATGGCTTGTCACTCATATGAATGAAGTCGTTGGTGGTTTTCAGATATTTGAAATGACTTACTATCTATGTGAATCGAAGTCTGTTGGTGGCTTTTCACTTGTGTGAAAGAAGCCATTAAT